TTAGAATGTCACAAGACAATCAACACAGGAAGCCAGATGACAAAAGCACTGCAAAAATTTGCAGGAAGAGTTCAGTTTTAAACGCCAGAAAGGGGGGGGGGGGAAGAAAGCAAGCAAAGGCAGAAATGCTCAGCTATACAATGTGAGATTGTGTGAAGCACATTTTAAACAACACGTTTCAGAACCAAGTAAATTGTAGCATGCTTGCATAATCACACATTACAAGATAGCCTACCGTGTTTTCCCGAAAATAAGACAGGGTCTTATTTTCTTTTGCCCCACGAAATATGGCCTTGGGCTTATTATAGGGGAGGGCTTATTATTTTTGGGGGCAGGTGAGAAGCGAGGTGCGCCTTTTACCATTCCAGCTCCGTCGCGTTCCTTGCCATTGTGCTCAGGGAAGCAGCTGGTTAAAAAAAAAAACTTTCTTGCGAGTTCAATCAAACTTCTTGAAATCGCGAGGTTTTTGAACACAATGGCGAGAAACGTGATGGAGCTGGAAAGGTAAGAGGTGCGCCTCGCAGCCCAACACCGCCCACCTTGCCACAATGCTAAAGGCAGCCTGCCTGGTTCCCTGCCCCACCGTACCTTAAGTGAGGGGTGGCAGGTGGGGGGGGGGGAAGAAGCGAGGTGCGCCTCTTACCTTTCCAGGTCTGTTGCGTTCCTTGCCCTTTTGTCCATTGAATCCCCTTGTAAAAAAAAACCTCATGAGTTCAACTCGCGAGGTTTTTTTTACAAGGGGATTCAATGGGCGAAAGGGTGAGGAATGCAGCAGAGCTGTCAGTCTCTGGTAGAGCTAGGACGTCGTCTCGCTTCTCCTCCCCCACCTGCCACCCCTCACTAAAGGGACGGTGGGGAAGGGAACCAGGCAGGCTGCCTTTACCATTGTGGTGAGGTGGGCAGTATTAGGCCGTGAGGCGCACCTTGTACCTTTCCAGGTCCATTGCGTTCCTCGCCCTTTCGCCCATTGAATCCCCTTGTAAAAAAAACCTCGCTAGTTGAACTCATGAGGTTTTTTTTACAAGGGGATTCAAGGGATGAAAGGGCAAGGAACACAACGGACCTGGAAAGGTAAGAGGCGTGTCTCGCTTCTCCACTCCCTACCTACCACCTCTTGCTAAAGGGACGGCAGGGAAGGGAACCAGGCAGGCTGCCTTGGCCATTGGGGTTGGCGGTGTTTCTTTTTGCGGTGGGCTCTTTGTGCGGGAGGGAAGGGCGGGAGGTGGAAGCACTTTGCTTCACCTGCCACTGTTATTGTGGCGAGCCCTCTTTTTGCCCCGCATGCTGTACCGGTAGGTGGTACAGTGGTAATAGTGGGGCCCGGTTGTGCATGCACTTAAATAGTTGGGGCGGGCTTATTTTCAGGGGAGGGCTTATTATGGTGCATGCTCTGAAAAGCCCGATTGGGCTTATTAGCAGGGCATGTCTTATTTTTGGGGAAACACAGTATTTCTCCCAGATGAAAGGGGGGTGGAAATTGGGAGGGCTGGGATATACAATAAAAAACCATGTGTAATTGTTGCTGCAGAATGACTGAACCTTAACAATGCCTAGTTTTAAAATTGTGTAACAACACATGTTGTTAAAATGGTACACTTAATTTCTCCATATTTATGTTTGGTCCCTCAGGATATGGGGACATACAGGCTTATTTCAAAAGCGCCCCTTACCTGCTTTGTACATATTTATTTATTTATTTTGAATCTGTGGTTGGCTATCCATCTCAAAGATATGATTTTGGCAGCTAATAGAGAATAAAAATAAAATAAAACTGTAACAATATGTACAG